ACTATTTGCCTTACGATATAAATCGGATTTTTCTTTGTTCTCTCTAACTTGAGCTGCAGTAGCACCATCGTCTAATGGAGGAGCCTTTACTAGCTTTCCATCGATAGCATCTAACGCTCCTTCATGATAATCTAGCAGATTTTCCTTTTCCACATAGGCCAGTCTGTCTCACCGGTCAATGGTTTGATGTGCTTCGATAAATCCATTCTGATATGGCTGTTTAACGACACTTCAAATTGGGAATTTACAAAATCACAATACGACTGTTTGCGTGCATGAGCCCATAACCTATTGAAATTTCAGCCTCATGAATAGTCGAGAACCGAATCAGTTTATTAACATAAAGTTCAATACGACAGTTCAATTAAATTATTTCTTCTGACTGCTAACTTCAAAACATATATATACAGAGTATATAAATATCATAGCTTCAACTTAACAATTCGGTCAGCTCAACTTCAACAATTACCACATCTCTCCTGGAGATCTACCACTCGAGAGTATCTATCACCCACTGTCACACGCTTATATACCACTAGGCTACTGCCGGACCAGAAAGATTTTATTATGAAATCATCAGTCAACAGAATTGAAATAGTACAAGGTTTTAATTATATTTGATATTTGATCATACAATTTACCTATCATAACTCGGTTGATTTGATGACGTAGAATAGGTATAGCCTGATGATGTTACAGCCACACATTACTTTTCCAATTTTTTCATCTATTACTGTGAATCAAATATATAATTATTGAGGTAGGTTTCTGAAATTTGCCGGAGGGAGAGAAAGTCCAAAGATAAAGTCAATTACGTGAGATACGGGGGTGCTTCCATAAAAAATGCGAAAAAATTTCATTTTTCCGAACTGAAAATTTTCCAGGAAAAATTTCAATAGTTAGTAAATTGGGCGTCCTGATTTCAAATCTGAAGTGATTTTCGACCTATTTTGACTCCTAATATCATTTTCTGGAAATTGGGGTAGTTTCATGGCTGTTGGCGAGCAGTGTATATCACTGAAGATGACCCCACTTGGTCATAGAGTCGCTCCAGCAAATTTCAGGATCCTTACCCAACGATTACGTAAGATACAGGGGTGGTTCCATAAGAAGTGGGTCACACTGTATTATACAGGGTATCTCGGTACAAAACAGAATAGCAGTGCTCATACAGAAAGTTATAGCGACAAAAATCAATGGAGAAATACGAGGAGAAATAATCAAAACAAGAGATATACTTTCACTAGCATTATACTGGTAGGCTGCATAAAATTGATATGACGGGTAACAGAAAAGCTCAAAAAATATAATAGTATAGAGTATGAGTCGATAATGAAGGTGAAACTAGAACCATATCACAGATTAACAAACCTACCATATGTGAGACGAATCGGAAAATTGTACATCACGAAACATCTATAAGCCTATATCTTCAATTCAATCCATAAACAATATATGAATCAAATCTACACCATCTAAGCGAATAATTTTTAAGATGGGGGGAATATTGAGGGAACTGTTTTAAGCAAACTAGGAAAAGATTATTAGACATAGCCCTCAGGAAGAGTTAACCGTACACAAGTTTTTCGGGCTTTCGGCCCTCATCAGTACGGTAAAATGAGTGCAAAGGATAGGCAACCCTTGGTGGAAGAGGAAACAACAAATCGACGGAGTCAACAAACATGAGCCAGCTGCACGATTGCAGGGTCTTCTGACCGAATCCACAAATGTGTTTCTGATTTGCCTGGCTGGTATTGGAACCCTCTGGAAGAGAAGGCGGTATGGAGAGTACTATCATCCGCAAAGCTGTGTACTGGACATGAAGTTACTTTCAACAAATCGTTGATATGGAGTAGAATTAATAGTGTCGGTGCTAGAATCGATCCTTGCGGAACACCAACATTTATGATAAGAGGGTCAGATGAAACTCCGTCGACCACTACATGGTGAGACCTGTTTGAGAGAAAATTAGCTAGCAGAGAACATAGCTGGGGAGGCAAGCCATAAGATGGAAGCTTGGCGAGGAGTCTGTGGTGCCAGACTCGATCGAATATGCCTTGGAGATATCAAGTGCCACGGCTAAGGTTTCACCATATTTCTCAATAGATTGCTGCCATATATGTGAGACGTAGGCGAGCAGGTCACCAGTTGATCTCTGATGACGGAAGCCATATTGCCTATCGTTGATATAAAACCTGAATGTTCCAGGTATTTCATGAGCTCGATATGTTGATTGCTTTCTCCATGATCTTCGAATTGATAGATAGCATTCGTGCGATCGGTCTGTAGTTGCTAGGTAGGGTCTTTTTGCCTTTTTTAGGAACTGGTTGTACTTTTGCATTTTTCCAGTTGGACGAAAATATCCCCAATTTGTAAGAGTAGTTGAACAACTCGCAAAGAACATATATGTTAGTTCGGGAGCACATTTCTTGAGAACAATCGGTGGGATTCCGTCGGAGTTGGTGTTGAGACCCAATAAAATCTTCCTCATAGTACGTTGGCGAAAGGTGATCTCGGCCATATGACTGTCAATTGGCGTTATGTTTGGAGGTTGTTTTCCCGATGAATCCAGAGTGGAATTTCCAGCAAATAAATGCGCAAAAATGTTGGCTTTCTCCTGGGCAGTCGTGGCTAGTGTTCCATCTTCCTCGGTTAGAGGAGGAAACGAGGAAGTGAAGTTTCTTCCTTCACCTGATACTTAGATACAATGGTACCTATAGTACCATTGGTTGCATCAGATCTACTCTGATATCTAAAAAAAATGGCTACCGATTATCTGTGACAGATCGAACACCTTTTTCACAACATCGATAGGGTAATCAACTTTTTAAATACTCTGAAATAGAAGAAACACATCACGCATGCGCCCTAAATGTAACGAAACCAACACAATTGAAATATCTCTAAAATAACATGAAATGAGGATGACGTGACATATTCTTCTGAAATAGAATATGAACAACATGTTATGTCAATCATCAGAGGAGAAAAACTTCTATGATAGCTAGAAACTTTGATTTAAAAACAAAAATGTAAATGAGGGATTCATAACTAGAAATTAATGTCGGATATATACAGGGCAAACCATTCTTTCCAAATAGAGTATATGAACAACATGTTATGGCAATCATTAGAGAAAAAATTGATCAACAAAAATATATATATATAGAGCCTAACATACACTATGAAATCGTATAGGTATTCCTCATTATCATTCTACATCAATTTGAATATGTGCCATTCTTTCCAAATAGCAGAACATGAATAACTTGAATTTATGCACGAAGAAAACCTGTTCGTCAAAAAATATCTGAACAATTACGGAAAATTGTATCTCAGTTATCACCTGAAATGTTGAATAACTTCACCAATATAAAATAATGGGAACGAGCCACATTCAATACAACTGAGATATAAAATACACGATCTCATCAACCATGAAAACATTTTCATACAGAAATATCATCAAACCTACCTACACCTGTCAGTTATTATAAAGAGTACTATATAAAAAAGTTCAAATGATTGCAATAAATCAACAAAAAAATGAATGGAAAATGGGCACAACAACAGGCGTGAATAACCTATTGGTATTCCAATGTTATCTCCCTATTAGGTTAGAATACCCTAAAAACACGAGTATGTCCCAGGGATGTCCCAGGGACGTCCTTCATTTTCTACGAGGGCGTCCCTGGGATATCCTGTGTCGGGACATGGTACATACTAGGGACGTCCCAGGGACATCCGCTTTCCACAAAAAGAGGCATCCTGGGGATGTCCTTCTGGTACGTCCCTGGGATGTACCAAGTACGAAGAAAGGATATCCCTAGGACGTCCCGAGGACAACCCTTCGACAAAAGAAAAAAAAATGTAGGTCGAGTACGGATTGAACCCGGGACCTTTGGCTTATCAGGCACGAATCTTACTCCATTGGCTATTGAGCCTCCTGACAATTTATGTACTAAACAGATTTATAAACAGGACTTAACAACAGAAACCTGAATAAATACAACTTTGTTAGGATTTGGGTATAATTATTATATCATTCTTGGGTGTTTAAAAATGAGGGGCATTATGCATGTACGATTTCTGTTTGCGAAAAATGGTAATTTCTTAGGAAGTTGTGAAACTATATTCTTCATTTTCATTATAATTATTTTCCGGAAAAAAAAACAAACATTTTCAAAAAATGCAACTTAATACTTTGATGAAATTCAATGACTCCAATGTGAATGGATATTAGATATTCCAGGGACACGAATAGGATAACCTAGGGATGTACCTGGCGGGATGTCCACTGGACAACCACTGCGCGACATCCCCTGGATGCCCCAATCATGTCCTTGTACCGCGGGACAAAAAAGGGACGTACCTAGGACATCCCTGTGTTGTTAGGTTAGGGCTTTCTCAATAATACTAACGTTAGATTCGCAAACAGAAATTTGTACTAAGAACCCTCGATGTCATTAAAGATGCGCGAATAGAATACTATACTTTTTCCACAACTGACGTCGTACTAGGCTTACAACACCTATTTGTTTTAATAACAACGAGTACTCTGAAGGGTAATGTCTCAAAGTTCTCGGGAATAGAATAGAAGAATATTTTTTCTACGGCTATAACACGCAAGATTGCTCTTGTTGAGAGGTACTTTGTATGTCATCAATTTCATTTCCGTATCTGTTATTATTTCAAAAAGAATTCATCGTCCATGGAATGTCAAATTCCAAGCAATGACAACTCTGTCTAATAGATTAGCATGACTTGACAGGAAATCGCAGATGGCTACGAGAGAAGAAATCGAAAATGCCGCTGTTATCTCTGTTATAGCCGTAGAAAAATTATAGTGCATAACTTGCACGGAATGCTAATTTCCAATTTGCAATGATTGCATCATTCGACTATATGGCTCATGCTGCAAACCTTCATTCTCGTTGGAAATCACTATCATTCGCCGTGCTCGTTAAACAATATACTATGGAAGCATTGATAAAACTTGCCAGATATCATGAGAAACGTTTGGCTCATTATGCAGGTGCTCACCGAAAGCAAACGACACACATCACTCATGCGTCAAAACATGACGGAAACGTCACGAAATCACAACCGAATTATTGCTTGAAGAACACGAAACGAGGATGACCCACCACTATTTCCATGCAGAACGTGGACATCAGACATCATGATATGCCAACTATTAGAAAACATTGTTCAACAAAATTCATTGAAATCAATGTAATGTTCACATTGAGTTCATTGACAAAAATATAGAGACTAACATAAATTGCGACCAAATCCGTCTATTTGCAATACTGATGAACTTTTCTTTCGACCTGAGATATAACAAACATAATCTCAATCATGAAGAAATTGTCATACAAAAATATTCAAATAGGGAAATCATATATCTGCTATCATTCGAAATGCCAACCAACTTCATCAATATGAAATGATCACAAGGTACTACCATTCCTTCAAACAAAAAATATCGATAATTACATATAATATAATATGTGCAATATGAATAAACTTCAAAGTCAAAAATATTCAAACATACTATTATACATATTATGCAGAGAAATGAAAAATCATTTCTCTGCTATCAGTTGAATTAACAACCAAAATACTTCATCAAATATGAAATGATCACAAAGTACCATTATTCTTTCAAACGAAAAATACTAATAACATAATTATGTGAAATATGTATAAACTTCATTGTCAAAAATATTTAAACATATACTATATATATATATATATATATATATATATATATATATATAGAAAACTAATGTATTGGGGAATGCAGCAAGTAAAAGCGAAACTCTTTAAAGTTTATCCAAGCTTTCGGAAATGTTTATTTCCTTCTTCAGGGATGCTACAATGATATATCATATTAATGTGCACAAAAATAGATAATATAAATATACATACATCTTTGTTGAGATTAATTACATGGATGTTATAAGATGATAGACATATCATTACATCATCTTATAACATCCATGTAATTAATCTCAACAAAGATGTATGTATATTTATATTATCTATTTTTGTGCACATTAATATGATATATCATTGTAGCATCCCTGAAGAAGGAAATAAACATTTCCGAAAGCTTGGATAAACTTTAAAGAGTTTCGCTTTTACTTGCTGCATTCCCCAATACATTAGTTTTCTTCCTACTGGTCAGCAACGACTTCCCTTCTATATATATATATATATATATATATATATATATATGTTTTTGTACCAAGTCGAGATCCGAATAAATTATGGACTACCCGAGATCCACCACAACAGAAGGACTTTGTTGAGTATGTATTTCAGAAATAGTTGCCAAACATCCTCTTCAAACCAAAACCCTAGAGAGGGGAAGAGATTTTTCAATTTGAATTTTTGTGATACTATTCAAACAATGAGAGATCCGATACAAATTCATGCAAGTTGAGATCCGGAAATGTATATTTTGATATTTAATACACAAGATGAGATCCTGCAATGTTGTCAGATCTGATGTTCGAGGAATGGACACGAACATCTATATTTCTGAATCTATTTTATATTTCCATCACGCACACATGTTGAAATTTCATCATTTCTATAGCAAAACAAATATTTTTGAAGATGATGGCGGCGTGATCCGGCACCCTATTGCTGACAATGAACTAAAATCACATGTAGGGATGAGCGACAGCTTTTTCGAAAGTATTAAAAGCCTGTTCGATAGTATTCAACCAGGAAATCAATACATATAGTGGCACATTATTTAATGAAAAATCTTCCACTTTCTAGCAATCAGACCAATCAAATCGTTCAATCTGATTTTGAGGAGAGTTTACTATTTTTCATCTCTTGGAGCGCACGAAAGCAAATCTCTTTTATGTTCGAGGACCATCGTGCGTACTCAGGGAGAATTGAGGGAGAAGGTAGATATTGGAATTTTCTTTGAACCTCTGAGGATAATAAGTTCTTGAGAATATACTTCCTGTTGTGAAGAATTCGAAAGACTTGCCTTTCTATTGACAAACGAGTTCCGATAAAGAATTGTTCGGTATATTTCGAGGATAACGACAAAAAAATGTGCTGATTGAGCTCATCGAGTACGTCTAACTGGTTTTGCGAGTGAAAGAAATTTCTGAAGAACATTTTCCGTGAGAGTATCATTAGAGAAGTGTAAGGTTTCGGACTTCCTTATGGTGTTACGATAGTGTCAAAGAATCAGTGAGTGTGGCATCACCCACCAGACGGATGACTAGTCTCTGCATCGAAGATGAATCTAGCTGTATCAGCATATGTTAAGGTGCTGAATTTCATATGTGAAAAACATATTTCTGAAACAGGCCGTATCTGTGCTTTGTAGATCATCAGAAGCTGTCATGGTGTGAAGTTGGATTTTCTAATTTTGATGAAGAAACCATAATCTCCGACCCCAAGAACCCCCTTATAACAATTTTGAATAAAATCGGATCGTAATTACAAAACTCGTCCCCCATATCGGATCCGCTATCCCGTATTTCCTAATTCCAATGACAGAATCATAATCTCCTAACTCGAACACCGAATCGGATCATAATAACGAAATTCGTCCGCCATATTGGATCTGCATTCTTGAATTTCCCGATTTTCACGGAATAGTCTCAATTTCCAACTCCGGAAACTCTCACATACACATCTTGAATAGAATCGGATCATAATTACAAAACTCGTCCGCCATATTGGATTCGCCTTCTTGAATTCCCCAATTCCCACGGAATAATCGTGATTTCTGACTTCAAAAACTCCCACACACACAATTTGAATAGAATCGGATCATAATCACAAAACTCGTCCGCCAAATTGGATCCGCCATTTTGAATTTCATAATTTCGACCAAGAAATTCGTAATCTCCGACCCTGACAACCCCCATATACCAATTTTGACTTGTCCACCATATTGGATCTGCCATTTTGAATTCCATGATTTTTACAGAATAATCATCATCACTGACTCCAAAAACTCCCACAAACAAAATTTTGATAGAATCGGATCATAACTACAAAACTAGTTCACCATATTAGATCCGCCATCTTGAATTCCCTAATTTTGACCAAATATTAATAATTTTCGACCCCAAAAACCCCCAGATCACAATTTTGAATCGTATCGGATCATAATTACAAAACTCGTCCGTCATATTAAATTCGCCATCTCGTATTTCCAAATTTCAACGAGGGGATCATAATCTCCGACCCTGAACACGCCCAGATACCAATTTCGAATAGAATCGGATCATAATTACAAATCTTGTTCGCCATATTGGATGTGCCATCTTGATTTCGACATAGGAACCATAATCTCCGACCCCGAAAACCACCAGAAACCAATTTTCAATAGAATCGGATCATGGTACAACACTCGTCCGCCATATTGGATCCGCCATCTTGAATTTCCTAATTTTGACGGAGGAATCATTATCTCCGACCCCGGAAATCCCCAGATACCAATTTCGAATAGAATCGAATCATGATGACAAAACTCGTCCGCCATATTGGATCCGCCATCTTCAATTTCCCAATTGAAAAAATAGTTTTTTACTATCGTGCGCAGAAATAATATTTTTCAAACGCATATTAGTGCTGTCAGGGTCACTTGTCCGCAATAGTGCGGAAAAAACTCTCAACACTCAAATGAGTGCAGTAAAGAGAAATTTGATTTTTTTCCGATCGCTAGTGGTAAAAATAGTGTACCAAACACGTGCGTGAAGTGTATTTCCGCACTTGCTTTAGGTGAACTACCATTACGACCGATTCTCAGACCTACCAAAGATGCACACAAATGTTCCCAAGAATCGGCAAGCCGTTTCGGTACTATTGGAAATTGGAGGAGTTTTGCAGCAAACACTGTGACAGGAGTGTAGTTCTACCAAACATCCTATTCCACAACCACGAGTTTAATGATATCTAATTTGATGAGGCTCGTTCATTTAATGAAACATACAGACACATCACAAAAGTACCTACCAACACATTACTTCCATATAAAATAATAAGATACTTTTTTCTACGGCTATAACACAAAATTACTCTTGTTTTACTGTGTTCGATAAATCAATGGGGTACTTTGTATGTTATCAATTTTATTTCCGTATCAGATATCACAATGATTTCATTGTGTTATTATTTCAAAAAAATCCCCATGGCAAGTCAAAGTTCAAGTAATGACAGTTCTGTCATATATAGATGAGCATTACTTATGAAAAAATCAGATGGCTACAAACGAAGAAATCCAAAATTTTGCTGTTATCTGTTACAGCCGTAAAAAAATTATAGTGTATAACTCGCACGGAGTGCTAATTTCCCACTCGAATGATTTCAGCATTCACCTAAGGCTCATGCTTCATTCTCGTGTGGAAATCACGATCATTTCGTGCTCGTCAAACAATATACTATTTTTTACGGCTATAACACAAAATTACTCTTGTTTAACTGTGTTCGATGAATCAATGAGGTATTTTGTATGTCATCAATTTCATTTTCGTGTTGGATATCACAATGACTTCATTGTGTTATTATATTTCAAAAAAATCTCATCTCCCATGGCATGTCAAAGTTCAAGCAATGCTAGTTATGTCAGATAGATGAGCATTACTAATAAAAAAATCAGATGGCTTCACAAGCCAAAGAATGGAAAAATTTTGCTGTTTTCTGTTACAGCCTTAGAAAAAGTATTGTGAATAACTCGCACGGAATGCTATAATTTCCCACACGAATGATAGCAGCATTCGCCCAAGGCTCATACTGCAAACTTCATTCTTGTGGGAAATCATTATCATTCCGTGCTCGTTAAACAATATACTATTTTCCACGGCAATAACACAAAATTGATCTTTTCTCACTGTGTTCGATACATTTCTGAGGTACTTTGTATGTTATCAATTTAATTTCCGTATCTGATATCACAATGTTTTTATTGTGATATCATCGCCCATGGAATGTGAAATCACAAGCAATGCGACAGCTCTGTCTGATAGATGAAGCATTACTTGAGAGAAAATCAGATGACTACAAGAC